CTCTGATATCTAGGACTCTATGTCGTAGATGGAAAGCAACCTTTAAGTTTCTAGTGATTTTAGCTTGCTTTTAGTTTTATAAGCGAGCGCCAGTTTGCATCACTGCTATAACTTTCTTTTCCGTGATGACCGTGACTTCCGTTTCCTTCTCCATTGTACTGTAGCACGTTGCTGAGGTATGTAAAATCGTCGATTCATTATTTTTATAATATTTTAATAACTAATTTCTGTTATTCATCCTAGAGATTCACGATGTGTTGCAATTTTATATAAAAATAATACAAAAGTTGTGTATTAGATAATTACTTTAAACTATATCGAATATTATGATACCATGTGCCTTCAGATAATTGAAAGTTCGTTAGCATCAGAATATGTGGCATGTTGATTAGTTTATATTCTTTGATTAAATATGTAGTACGTTAATAAGAAAAATATGTAATTAGATTTCGCTTGTTTTTTACAATGCAAAGTTTAAAGAAATTTGGTTTAAATCGAGCAATAATAAAATGTTTTTATAAAATAAATTTCAATTTTACAATGTTAGTATGTTAGGTAGGTAGGTATGTATGTATGTATGTTATGTATGTTATGTTAGGCTCGGTTGCACCAACACTTCTTAATTTTAAGCAAGACTTAAAACTATCTCGTTTAGAAGTCGGAAAGGAGACAGAGACAGTTTAAGTTTCGCTTAAAATCGAAATCACGTTGGTGCAATCAGGCCTTAGTAACATCAAGAATTGCTGAGAAAAGACCCGTGGGTTTCAAAACGTTTGAGATATCATTATATTTTCTTCAGTTATACCAGTTTGTGGGTTATCGCCATGTCTTTCTTCATTGACGGACACGGTGCAATAAGTTAAAATGAAACAAACTTATATTTGTTCCACTTCAACCTATTAGATCTGTTCCTTTTTGACTGATCTTTTGCACTAATTCATCTTCCTTTTTTCTCCAAGAGAAAAGAAAAGGAAAAATGATGAACTGGTGCAAAAGTTCAAGCAAAAAGAACAAGTCTATTGCACCGTGTGTATTAATTTAGACAGTGCAGGAACAAAAAACAGACCCATTATTGATGCTAACGTTTCGTGAACCATGCCATTCACTTCATGGATACAGTATTATCAGCGCACTCCTTGCACTGATGAAGTGAACGACATGGTTCACGAAATGTTGACATCATTAATGAAGAAAGACACAGCAATAATCCACAAACCTTCTGGTATAATTGAAGAAAATATTCGTGAAAGCCTCAAATGTGTAATTATATAATTTTTTTATATTATATATTTTATGTATTTTTATTTTTATGCTGTACTGACATTATATAAACTTGAAATTTATTTTATAAATACATCTTATTACTGCTCGATTTAGACCCTTTATACTTTGCAGAAAAATATATGTTTGACATGTTCAGAGAAATAAGATTTAGGCCTAGTTTTATAACTTCACGGTTAATTTTTAACTTAGGTTTGACATATTTCTTTACTCTTTCTCTATTGTAGAATTAGAAAAAATTAATAAAATTTCGATTAAGAGTTAATCATGAGTAGTAAAATTGGGCCTTAAGATCTATTTCATCGACCTTGATTAAACTAATCAATGATTATGTGGGATGATGTATCTATTTTCATGATTCATGGTTAACTCTTAACTTAAATCAAGATTTAATTTATTCCTTATCTCTTTTTTTTAATTTTAAAATTGGAAAGACATGAGAAATAAATGAACCTCAGTTAAGAGTTAACTACGAGTTTGGAAACCAAGGGTTAGTTAAAAAGATCCTTAAGCCCAATTTCGTAACTTTATTGTTAACTCTTTGAAAAATATATTAACATCATTTTTTATTAATAGCAACTTTCATATATAATCTAAATTTGATCTTTAATCATTTCTAGTCCTTAAACTCCTATAAGGTGTCCCTACTACACTATTCAAGATGGGTAGGGAGGATAAAGCAACATGGAAGTCTAATTACTTCACTAAACTTGTTGTAAGTATTTCCTTTTGTATTAATTGTTCAGTTTTAATCTAATAGCATATAAACTGCTTATAAATACACTATAATTTATATACATATATATATATATTTATCATATATAATTTTTGTTGAATATTAGCAACTATTAGACGATTATCCCAAATGCTTTATTGTGGGTGCGGACAATGTTGGCTCAAAGCAAATGCAACAGATTCGTATGTCACTGCGTGGAAACGCAGTTGTACTGATGGGCAAAAATACCATGATGAGAAAAGCCATTCGTGGCCATATTGAACGTAATGCAGCATTGGAGAAATTACTGCCTCACATCCGTGGTAATGTTGGGTTTGTTTTCACCCGAGGTGATTTGATTGAAGTAAGAGACAAACTGTTGGAAAATAAAGTACGTGCACCAGCTAGGGCAGGAGCCATTGCACCTTTAAGCGTTATCATTCCTGCACAAAACACAGGACTTGGTCCTGAGAAAACTTCTTTTTTCCAAGCTTTGAGTATACCAACTAAGATCTCTAAGGGTACTATTGAAATAATAGTGAGTACTTGTAAAAATATTTAAACATAATTTTGTCAATATCTTGCACATTCTATATGAATGCGTATAATAATTGGGTTGTCACATTTTATAGAATGATGTTCACATCCTCAAACCTGGTGATAAGGTAGGAGCTTCCGAAGCCACACTTTTAAACATGCTGAATATCTCGCCTTTTTCTTATGGATTACTGGTTGAACAAGTATATGATTCTGGTACTATTTTTGCGCCTGAAATTTTGGACATCAAATCTGAAGATCTACGTGAAAAATTCATGGCTGGAGTTGCAAATTTAGCTTCAGTTTGCTTGATGATTGGTTATCCTACAGTCGCTAGCGCACCACACAGTATTGTGAACGGATTCAAGAACTTGCTAGCTGTCGCTGCTGTTACTGATGTTGAATTTGCAGAAGCTACCACTATCAAGGAATACATTAAGGTGTGATTTTATATATTATAGATTTATTCGCGTTGCGTGCTACTTGCTCCTACCATAACTCACTCTAATGAACACATAATAAGAGAAGGTAGGATCATGTTGGTGCGTGTGACACAAACCTTATATTTTATACTAATTATTCTTGAATGAATATAATGATGAAAATATTACACGTCTAAAGATTTTGGTTCACATGTCAGAGCTAGAAATAGTTGAACCCAATGACATGTCAAAATTGTTGTTGAGATATTGCACTAAAGTGCAGTCTGAATTAAATAATGTAAATGCTATCCGTGCAATTGGCTGAGGAGTCGTATTTATTAAGAATTATGAAATTGTTTATAGGATCCAAGCAAGTTTGCTGTTGCTGCCGCTGCTGTAGCAACTCCAGCAGCTGCAGCTACAGATGCTCCTGCTGCAGAGAAGAAGGAAGAAAAGAAAGAAGAATCAGATTCAGAAGATGATGACATGGGTTTCGGATTATTCGATTAATGCATACATATTCACATTTTATGTATGTTTAAACATTCATCTGAAACGACCTTTGTCGAACAAGAATCAATTCAAATTTTGGATCATTTTATAAATGCTTCTGATACCAAAATAAAATAAAATAAAATTGAAAGAATTTTAGTTTTATTTGTTATTGTTGATTGTATCTATTAACAATTATTATTAATATTAGAAAAAATTTTAGTAATATCTAACGATTTCGCGTATCGGTATAATTTGTATGCTTGATCAGAGTAGAACATATCTTCAATGCGTATAGGCACAGGCATAAAGGCTACGTACGATTAAACAAAACAGGGAACAAAGAATCTCAATCTATCAGAAAGCAAATATTGTGGAATATACATTTCTGATTGGCTTCTTATTCTCTGTTCATTTAATTCGCTACGTTCAGCAGAAAAAGCTTTGCAACTGTTGAAATCTACCATTTCCCGTTCTCTTGCCTGTGCTACTCATTGCTTGAACACACCTTGCAGGAGTTACAGCTTAATAGGTCATAGTATTTTGATAATTTTGATAAACGGATTTCTTAATCTATACAATTATCAACAATTAATTGCAATTACTTGCTTTGAAAAGCAGAGTGATAAGGATTATTTATATTGGCCGTAATCTGTAAGAATCAGTCACAGTCAAATGAAAGAGAAATAATCGACTATAATATATATAAAAAGTATAAATAATTTTAAGACCCGCTTGGGGCCCCAGTATCCGAAAATGGATTGAAATGGATTAAAATGGATTCAAATTTTCAGAAATACGGATTCATGAATGTTAAAATGAATCCTTTTCAATCCGAATATGTTTTTATTCATTTATAGGAATTGCATGGAGCATATCTGTAAACTTTTCAATCATAAAATAATATTAGCTTTTTCAGTGCGTTTGTGACCATAGTGAATACTGTTCAATTCATAGTTTTGTATAGGAAACGCAGTTTTTCAATCCAGTTGTATCCAATTGAATCTAATTGAATCCAATTGAATTCAATTGAATCCACAAAAAAGTATTCGCTATTTAAAATACGAATTCGAATAGACAAAATCCAATCCATTCTCGGACGCTAACAGCCTAGAAGTCACTAGAGTACCTATAATAGGTACTCTAGAAGTTACAGCCCAGACAGTGTCCGCTTGTAATATTTCTAACCCATTTTAAATTTCATACATTTAAAATTTTGTTCCGTTGGACCAAAAAGTAACGATACGCATGTGCATAAGATCGAAATGCATGTAGAAGCAATCATGGTAGCAATGTGATAGAAGCATGCAGAAGCATGGCAATATTGGCAATTGTAGGGCTGAGACAGATTTCCTAACCTCAAGTCGGCAACTTTAACGAATATCTTCACGGGATAGAGTGACGCTTATTTCTACCAGATCCTTTTATTTTATGGAAATACGCGTCGAGTATAATTTAATCGATTTTTGAGACGGTTACTTTCCATTGTACTTTTACCAAGCATAATTTTATCAATATTGGAGCTGAAGAGGATTGAACTGAATTAATACAAAATGAGTTTCAAGAAAATTAAAGAAGTTATAGAAGATGGAGATATTGTTATTTTATATTTAAATCCAAACAACATGCATCCTCTAGAAGTAAAAGCGAAAATTTCCAATAAAAAAGGCAAAATCATAGACAACATGTTTAATACTGCATATGGTGCGTTAAGAGTTGTATCACTCATTGGACAAAAATATGGTTCAAAAGTTGAGTTGACTCGAGGCTGGGCATATGTGTTACAGCCCACGCCAGAACTTTGGACACTGATACTACCTCATAGAACTCAAATTATCTATAGTCCAGATATAAGTTTTATTATACATTTAATGGAACTTAGGCCAGGAAGTATAGTAATTGAAACAGGTACATCATACACATACATATAATACTAACACACCCGTATAATATTTATTGAAAAAAAAAACAGCTTTATTTTTCATAATTAATTTTAGGTACTGGTAGTGGCTCTTTATCTCACTCATTAATTCGAGCGATACGCCCAAGTGGCCATTTGTATACCTTTGATTTTCATGAACAACGTGTATCTATTGCTAGTACAGAATTTGAAAAACATGGTTTGAATGATTTTGTAACTTTGAAAGAAAAGGATGTTTGCTTAGAAGGATTTGGGGATGAATTAAAACATAAAGTTGATGCAGTGTTTCTAGATCTTCCACATCCATGGCTAGCTATAGAACATGCCACAGTTGCTTTAAAAAAAACAGGTGAAGTTTTGTTTAATTTTTTATTGAAGAATTTTAATTAACAAAAAATATTCTAGGACAAATGTTGTAATATTTGTACAAAAATAGAAGTTAATTTTAATAAACATTAATACATATAAGCATACTTGAAAAGTGAAAACATAATACATTGTACTATAATAATAAAAATAACACATCGAATTGTTATTTTTATTGTTATAGTACAATGTATGATATACAATTTTTATCCAACAGGTGGAAAACTTTGTTTCTTTTCCCCTTGTATTGAACAAGTTCAACGTACTTGCACAAAATTAATTTGTGAAGGGTTTATAGAATTACATACGTACGAATGTTTGCAAAGAGAAATGAACGTTCAGTACAAGGTTCTGCCAATATTAGATTTGGAATGTTTGAAACAAAAGGTTGGTATATTTTACCATTAAAAAATCTTTAATTGCAATGAAAAGTTTTTAATTGCATATGATACAAATAAAATTAATTAAAATAATACTTAATTACTATCTCATCTAAAACTATAGTATATTGACGTAAATATATTGAATTTCATGAAATAATAACATACATAAAATACAGGATTTAACATGCTTTTATAATTTTATAAAATTTTGTGTTTTAGTATATTTGTAAAATACTTTAATAAATAAGAAAGAGATTTTAAAACACTGTAAAAACATTGAATGAATTTTGAAGAACAAAATATAAAAATGAAAAATTTAATTATTTTATTATAGCACACAACCGAAGATATTCACAAGAATGAAAAAGGAAAACAAGAAGAAAAACTTCTTACAGTTACTCACTCTCATTCATTACCTGGCCATACAGGCTTTATTACAATTGCTGTTCTGCCCCCTAGTTATGCACGCAAAAAAGAAATACAATGTATAAATTCAAACAAATGAATAAACAACTGAAGAATACTAAGGTGTAATTTAAGTAGTGATTAATTAAAGCTCCTGAGCAATTATAATTACATCTCTTTATATTTATTTATAATTCTCTTTATTTACAAATGTCATGCAAGAAACTTTATTATATTATTTCTCGCTTGTGACATCACGATCCTATATGGCAATAGCGACTATTCAGGAGCCTTAACTAAAAAAACTCATAAATTAATTTTGTTACTATCTCAAATAGAACCCATAATTTTTAAAATTTAGAAATCATTTCTATTAATTAACAAATATTTTGTTAAGAGAATGAATATTGTGATAATGATATCCTACAAGTAATCTATTAATCATAAATACAGTGGCAATATAAAATATAATGTAATGAAAAACTGGAAACACTAAAAAGGTTTAATCATTTGCATACTTATTATTTTATGTGTCAGCCTTATTTGGATTCCAACTGAGATAATCAACTCGAGTCGCGGCTTGATACTCTTTTACTAAATATTCTACTACTTCTCGCGAATTGTCCAGTTCATCAAGATTATCTTCGAACATTTTTTCTTTGCGGAATTGTTCCAAAAACGCTTCGCGTTTACGCAACTTGTCATATTGTTGTAAGGCTCTATCAAACAGCTGAAACACAATATTAAAATTAGCAATATTCAAATTCAAATATTATAGAATATATATATAGTGCTGTGATAGTAAATAAATTTTGAGAGAATTTAACAGCCAATATTCTTACCGATGATATGTTAGTATGATTAGCTAACATCAAACCAGAAACACGATGTGTACTTTGTATATAAGGAGATTTTCGTGAAAGAGCTACTTGTATACTTGCAGGACCCCAAGGAATAAACTGCGCGAGTTTTCGCTCTCTAATCCTTTGTAACGATTTGTGCACTTGTGTCGGATCCACCTCACCCTATTAAAAAAATATTATTGAATAATATGTTTCTTTTGTTATGTATAAAGAAACACACAAGTTAATACGCGCGCGCGCGCGCGTGTGTGTGTGTGTGTGCGCATGTCTGGAATAAGTAAATTTCTCTAAAAAAAATTACCTGAATTATATTTAAAATGGATATGTAACAATGTGATGCATTTCTGTCTAATGCTGTAGAAACCATCATATTTTTCGGTTGTAGCAATCGTCGCATCACATCCAAGACAGATGTTTTTCTTACAGATGCACCCTGTTTCCGAATAATTTTCATGAAAATAAACATGCATTATACAAAATTGTACAGATATGTTTCAACATTAAATATGATTATACTTTAATATTTAATATTTAATTGGAGGAGAAATATAACTTTTTTAAAAATAAAGATATAAATAAAATAATGAAAAAAATATTTGATTTTCTCTGATGTAACTTTTTTACAAATGCATTAATATACAAAATTGTAATGTGCAATTACACATTTTTAGATAGAATTTGTTTTCTAAATCCGTATGCATAATTTCGTATATAAAAAGTTATTTGTTATTAAATATTCGTTTATATATAAAATATTATACAATAAATATTTTTGATATTTTATATTTTGTATTCTATTGTGACAAAATATGAAATAATTAAATCATCAGATACCTCTTGATCTGTTGTAAGTGGAGTATATCCAGTCATTAGAAAGTGCAATCGAGGAGTTGGTATAAGTGGTGCAATCAAACCAACTAAATCATTGTTCATATATGAAGGATATCTCAAAGTGGTTGTACTGACAGACATTATTGTTGAAACAAGCTTATTAATTTGTGTGAAACTAGGATTCTGGATATGCAATCTGTCTGAAGCAATTCTATTCAAAGCAGTATTATCTAAAACTACCACACAGTCTGCACATTGAGTCAGCCTTTTCAATGTTAGCAATGAATTATATGGTTGTACTACAACATCGCTGTAACAAAAAATATATACACATATATTTGTGTATGTTTAATATATATATAGGATGTATAATAACAGATAAACCATCAGATTTGTTTTTCGAAAAATGTATATAAATATATAATTAATGTATATATGTATGTAAATCCATATTATATAGAGAATTTTTAAAAACAAATAAATATTACCTTATTTCATCCTGATTTGGAAAAACACTGTATGTCTCAATTAATTTTTTAGGAAATCTATCAGCAAGAGATTCTAACATAAAAGATCCCATGCCAGAACCTGTACCTCCTGCTATAGAATGGCACAAAACAAAACCCTACACAAATTCCAAGATTTAAACAAAAATTATATTTGATAAAACAAAGAACATTCTTATATTATAGATGTCAGATTAGGATACAATATTATTAGAGATAAAATATCAGAATAATATAGTTACTTCTAAGCTGTCACTACCATCAGCTTCTCTATCCAAAATATCAAAGATTTCTTCCTGTAATTTTTCACCCTGATGATATCCAGATGCCCAGTTATTACCAGCACCACCACCATGTTTTGATAAATAGATATTTTCAGGATTATACAGCTAATAACAAAATAAAAATTTTTTATTTTAATATAAAATGATATAAAAACAGTAAAATTGTTGTATGTGTATGTGTGTGTGTGTGTGTGTGTGTGCGTATTTATATACAATATATTACCTTTGAATAAGGAGAATTCATGATAGTATGAATTACTCTTGGTTCTAAATCCAGTAATACAGCTCGTGGTATATAGTGTTCATCATCTGACTGATAAAAAAAGACATCTTTTCTATCCATTCCCTCTGTCGCATAATCTTCTAAAATTCCTTCTGGGTTAATTCCATGTTCTGCACATAATCTTTTCCAAAATTCAAATCCAACTATAAAAATAAACAAAATATATAAATATAAAAACATATATATAATTTTATGTTACAAGTGTGACAAATTTTGTACATATAAAACTTTACAATGTTTTGAAGAAATCAAACAAATAAGAAAGATCTTTAAATAAACGCAACTAAATTTTAGTGCTTAATATGTCTATATATATTTTAAAAACATTCAGAAATATTGTAAACACACTAAGATCTTGCCCCTTTATACATCTTTTTTTCTTTAATTGTTTGATTTATTCATATCCAAATAAACTTAACAATGTTTTGAGTTTTGTAAATCTCTCATGACTAATTATTTAAAATTGCTAAGATTAAAAAACTACACATTATTAATTATTAAACTTATGTTAACTTTTGTGCTATTATTTGAATTTATATTACACTTTAATATCTATGTTTAAAAAATTGATAACAGTATCATCTATGACAGAATAAAATATAACTTTACTTTGATTCCCACATTGTCCAAGTTGCAACGTTATCATTTCACACGGCATTTTTATATTTAAATAAAATACTTTTCGTTGAGAGAATTTAAGAAAAGAAATTCACAGTCATACAACCGGCGAATCTTTAAACAAGTCGTATTTCGATATACACAAATTCATTCAGCAGAGAAGGTCGCAGCCATGATGTTAAACCTGTTCACGATATTAGAAATCGATCCGAGATCTCGAATAAAGAAAGAATTAACCAATCGCATGTGACCAAATTGTTTAATCCCTGTTTCCACCAATGCAGATTAACTTTAGGTTGCGCACAATAGGAGAAATATTAGGAACAGATATTATAATGCCTGATTTATGGCTGCGTTCAGCAGAAAAAGCAGCTTTGCAACTGTTGTAAAATTCTTGAATATGATTGGCTTATACATTTAGATCTAATGAGGAAGTAAGAGCAAGACCAATCATATTAACGAATTTTGCAACAGTTGCAAAGCTGCTTTCTCTGTTGAATCCCAAGATCCTAAAATTCAACCAATAAAGCTGCCAGTTCTAACTGAAATTTGAACTCTATTGGCTGAATTTTAGGATTAAGCCTTAAGACCAAAGCATAAACCAGGCATAAATATAAGAATTTTAACCTATCAGAACTGTGTACTGTAGAATGTGCGCTTTCTGATAGGTTAATGCCTGGTTTATGCTTCAGATCTTAATCCCAAAATCCTAAAATTCAACCAATAAAGCTACCAGTTCTAACCGAAATTTAAACTCTATTGGCTGAATTTTAAGATTAAGACCTTAAGACCGAAGCATAAACCAGGCATAAAATTCTTATATTTAATATCTATTCCTAATATTTCTCCTATTGTGCGTAGCCCTTAATCTCGTTAACCAGAGAGAAACCTGAGAGAGGCTAGAGTCCCTATAATAAGGTCCTTATTATAATTTATAGGGACTCTAAAAAGGCCTCCCTACACGGTCAAACTGAGTCAGTATTAAGGTTGATTTATACTGGCCGTAAACTGTTAACTTATGCCGTAATCTGTAAAAATTGACCAATTATAATCGATTATTCCCCTCTCATTCGACTGTGATTGGTCAATTTTTACAGATTACGGCCAGTATAAATCAACCTTTACTGATCAGTTATATTACTGATAGTATACATTAGTTTTTATAATCTTATACGATCAGGTATTATTGATAATATTTCACTTCAGTTTGACGTGATTTGACGTATATTATTATCTATGGCGACATGGATTTAAAGCATGTATTTAAATCCAAATCATCGTCAGTATTCTACGTCAATCGATTAAAACCATGTATAAAAAAGCGTTGCAACCTTTTAGTCCCCGACTGTACACCCACGGTAATTAATTTTGTCCCTCGGAAATTTTCACAAAATAAAAAATGACCACCTTTCTATATTAATTGTCACAATCTATGCACGATTAACGTTACGACTGAACCTTATCGTGCATGAATAGTGATAATTAATACAGAAAGGAGGTCACTTTTCATTTTGTGAAAATTTCCAAGGGACAGAATTAATTACCGTGGGTGTACAGAGCCTTAAAGGAGCCTACAGACCAGAGCGGCGCAGCGGTGAAACGGCGAGCGATAGCCAATGAGAGCCATGCTTTTGCGTAAAAGCATGGCTCTCATTGGCTATCGCTCGCCGCTCACCGCTGCGCAGCTGTTGCGGGATTCTCTAAACGTTTTATCGATGATTGTCGCTATCGTTAACTAGCGACAGCCAATGGCAGGACAATCCTAAAAGAAAGCGCTGCTCTCATTGGCTGTCGCTAGTTAACGATTACAACAATTATCGAAAAAACGTTTAGAGAATCCCGCAACTGGTCTATAGGCTCCTTTATTGTTTACCAATTGTTAAACAAGAATGACATGACCGAGGAGCACTCGGGTGGTAATCTGAACACGCCCCAGCCAGGTGGAAAAAGAACAGACTTTTCATCTCATTTTAATGCAAATATTTTGGGGATTTTTTAAACAATGGGAACAGACTTTTGACGTACACGATATAAGATGGCAAGGTGAGGCTGCTTCATGCTGGGTTGTATGAGATTGTGAGATGCGTAGCTGATGAGGGGCGCATTCAGGTACATTTGTGATGTCCGTGTGTAACCGGCCATCAAGACTTCCGGATTCCTTACACATTCTCGCCGGCTAGAAGTGACGGACTGTTTGCATTACATTATCTGTTCGTGATTTGACGTCAACTAAGTACTGATCGGATCTGTGAAACGATATTCTAAAGGTATTTCATTCGTCGCAATACAATCCATACAATGTAACCGAATAATTGTGCTTGTTACGATAATCACGTCACAATATCTTTCATAATAAAAATACCGCCTTGCCTCAACCTGTTTCTCTTTATTATTTTTTTAATAAGCGGAAAATTTATGATAAGCGCCACAGCATGAAACACTGTCGCCGATAAATTTCTTCACTTGTCTGATGTATTTACTCATGTCTCATGTGCATTACTTATATCTCTGTAGTCCAAATTATTTCTCATAAATGAGCAAAAGTCAAGTATATTTTGTCTTTAATCAGTAAGTCTAACAGAAATTAAAAAATCTTAATCGGAGGAACTTATGAAAGTTCTAATAAAAATAATATATAGTCTTTTTATTTCTGAACTGGACAGCACTTGAACTTTTTTCTTGCTTTTATTAAATATTAAACATTTGTTTCACTTTAATTTCAAAAGTGTATATTAGTTCAACTATAGGAAGAATATTGTATCCTGAGTTCAGTTTGATATAACTGAAACATCTAAAAATAATCATCTGAGATGTTTTTATACTCCAGCGAAAATATGAATTGCAAAATTAAATATTATTTTGCTTGAAATATATATTTGATATATTCCCTTTCTCCTTTTATAATTACTTTTTATGAATCTTTAATATGCAATTTCATCAAAAATCCATGATAAAAAGGTGCTATATTAAAATCTTTATTTTTTAGAAATACTGTCATTATATTCTAGATAACAGATGTGGAATACTTCAGCTGGAATATTCTATGCTACATAGGAAATTACTTAGACTTGATTTTTCATTATCTAGTTAACTTTTGGATAAGTTTAACCTGATATTTCATCCAATCAGCTTTATCTATGATGCTATCATGAATGAAACCCATTGAATAAAACATTAGGTCAAACCAAATCATAAGTTATAAAGGCCTTCACACGTAAAACTCGACTGTAAGGATGTAAAACGTAAACATAAGGAAATCAACCCCTTCTGGAGTTGGATACACGATTGAGATTGATCGATTTCCTTATGCTTATGTTTTACGTCCTTTTACGGAATTTTATGTATGAGGACTTTAACAAAAAACTAGGTCTTAATGTGCTTATTTCTTTTAATATTTGTTTGTTTATTACTTACTTTTTTTCAGAAAATATTGTAATTAAATCCATGTTTATGTTTTCATTACTTATATATATATATTTGTATACAATAACTTAAAATACACCTATGTAGAGTCTAAAAATTCAAATTTATTGTACTTTTATTTTTTCTGTATTTTCTCTTTTTGCAGAAAACACAAAGATAT